AGCTGGCGTCACGAAGTTGACGCCTCGCTACTCGACGCCCAACTGCTCGGCGTCCTGAGTCGAAGTCGACGTCAGCCCCTCCTTCGTCGACCACCAGGTCCAGTCGACCACTTAACATGTCGACCAGCAGTCCGTTAGCCGACTGCCGAAGTCGGCTTCCCCAAGTTGACATCACCAAGTTGACGTCCTCCGCACGTCAACACCCAAGTCGACCTTCCTGAAGCCGGCGCCACCCTGAAGTTGGCGCCCGTGCAGTGGTCCCCCGTGCAGGTTGACCTCCTCGTCAACTAGCTCACCCACTGCTGAAGGCCGGCTGCTCCCCTCACACCCGACTACGAAGTCGGCTCCGCCCAAGCGAGGACGGGGCCAACACCCAACTCCCGTTGACAACCCCGAAGATGACCACTCTTCGGGTACTGCTGCACGTTGCTGCTCACCGTAACTACGAGCTGCACTCTCTCGACTTCAGCACAGCTTTCTTGCAGGGCAGCCTGCACGAGCAGATCTGGCTGCGTCGCCCACCTGGCTTCACTGGGTCTTTTCCTCCTTGTACCCAGTGGAGTCTCCGGCGTCCAGTCTACGGTCTCCGTCAGGCGCCACGTGAGTGGCATGACACACTGAGGACTACGCTTGCGGCTCTTGGGTTTGCTCCTTCTACTGCTGACCCGTCGCTGTTTCTGCGCACCGACACCTCTCTGCCGCCGTTCTACATCCTCGTGTACGTTGACGACTTGGTCTTCGCCACAGCTGACACTGCTGGACTCGCCTACGTGAAGTCCGAGCTGCAGAAGAGACACACGTGCACAGACCTGGGTGAACTGCGCAGCTATCTTGGCTTGCAGATCACCTGGGACAGAGCACGCCGCACCATTACCCTAACTCAGTCACACATGGTGCAGCAGGTCCTTCAGCGCTTCGGCTTCACGTACTCCTCGCCTCAGGCCACTCCTCTGCCTACTCGCCACTCGCTCTCAGCTCTGCCTTCGGATGAGTCCGTAGAGTCGAGTGGCCCGTATGCAGAGCTTGTTGGCTGCCTCATGTACCTGATGACCTGCACACGTCCTGACCTTGCATACCCTCTTAGCATTCTCGCACGCTATGTTGCTCCTGGGAGACACCGACCAGAGCACATGGCTGCAGCGAAGAGGGTGTTGCGCTACTTGTGCAGTACGTCGGGCATGGGGCTAGTGCTTGGAGGGCGGATTCCAGTGGTCCTTACTGGGCATGCGGACGCTTCTTGGGCTCACAACCAGGCTACGCAGCGGTCGTCACAGGGTTACACCTTCAGCCTTGGTTCCGGCTCTGTTTCGTGGCGGGCTACTCGCTCGTCTTCTGTTCTCGGCTCTAGTTGTGAGGCTGAGATCTACGCCGGGGCCATGGCTGCACAGGAGCTTCGCTGGCTCACCTACCTGCTGACCGACCTTGGAGAGCCGCCTCGTTCTCCTCCAGTCCTGTACGTAGACAACAAGGCCATGCTGGCCTTGTGTCGAGAGCAGCGACTGGAGCACAGAACGAAGCACATTGCTCTCCGCTACTTCCTTGCTCGTGAGCTACAGCAGCGTGGACAGTTGCGGCTTGCGTACGTGGCCTCTGAGGCCAACACTGCTGATGTCTTCACCAAGGCAGTTGCGCCTTGTGATCATCAGCGCTTCTGCACTCAGCTGGGTCTTGTGCCCGTCTTGCCTCACTTGCTCTCCTCTTGACCTTGCTTGTACTCTCACATATATGTATACCTGCTCTTGCTTGTCTAGCTTTATATATATGTGTGTACTCTTGCTTGTGAACTGGCCTTGTGGCCTTGACCTTGTGCTCAGACTGTGTGGTGACTTTGTGATCCACCCTGAGCTTGCTTTGCTTTGCTTTCCTTGACTGGTCTTGTGACCCCTTGTTCTCCCCCACTTTGCCTATGGGGGTGTGTCAGAACATTATAGCTTATGCTGTTGTGTAGGCTATAGTGGGGTATCCCATAGGGGGTACAACCCATTTAGGGTTTCCTATATGTACCCACTTCATTCATAGTTGATGCATTCTCGTTCTCTTTCTCACAATCATCAGCATCATGCTACGTGCCAGGGAAGCCTGGCTTTTCTCCACTGCAAAGGACGTGACTGGTGCCATGCTGCGCATCGCTGTTGGCAGGGGTCTCATGCATGGTGCTCGCTCTGTGCCATGCTGTGCTGCCCATCGCTGCTATGGCTGGCAGGGGTCTCATCGCTCGCTCTTTGCCATGCTGTCGTGGCCTCGCCAAGCCCACCCGAGCATACATGCACATGCTCTCTACGTTGTGTGTTTCTTGTGCTTGTCCCTTTCACGGTTGCATTTGCGGAGATTACTGCTGCAACGGGAGCTAGGCTACGGGCTAGGCACGGATGCTCGTGTGATCTCTGCGTTCGTTCACTTGGTCGTTTCCTTGTGTTCACGCTGCTTGCTAGTTCACGGGGAGAATTGGCAAGAGTTTCACTAGGAAAACATGACAATAATGGTAGCAACAACATTGGCATCTTAGACTACATCAGTGCTAGCTAGGCTGCTGGTCGACCTCCAGCGCAGCACGGTTGACCGCGCTCCAGCGCAGCAGCGCTCGCACCGCTCCAGCGTTGCAGAGTAGCGGTTCGCCAACGTTGCAAGTCCACGGTGTGCCAGCGCTGCAGCAAGTCGGTTGCACAGCGTTGCACCCGCAGGACAACGGTGCACCTGCTTCGCAAGTGCGCGCAGCTGGTTGGCGCTCCACACCTTGTCACGAGCATAGCGCAGACTGCTGGCAGACTCCACGCCAGCGACTGCGCCCACCAGCCACGTCGACCTTGGGATACCACCCCCGAGGTCGGCCTCGCATACTCCACCCTGGCGACACTCGCGCACGTTGCCCGTGTATCCCGATCGATCGGGCAACCACGCCTGGTCGACCCACGCAGTCCGTAGCCGGCCACGCATGCCCGGCGTCCCCAGTCCGGCGTCCAGACGTCCAGGACGCCTTCCGAACCCCCAGGTTGGCGTCCAGACGCCCAGGACGCCGACCAAACCTCCAGAGCGGCGTCCCTCCTCCTAGGACGCCGACCAGACCCCCATGTCGGTGTGTGGGCCCCCCGGGACGCCCAGGTCGGCGTCCGGACCCCCAGGACGACGTGCAGACGCCTAGGTCGGCGTCTGGCCTTCCAGAAGGTCGTGCAGGCGCCGACGACGTTGACCTGGCGCCCGGGTAGTCGTGGCGACGCCCAGCTCGGCGTCCAGCTTTCCAGGACGCCGTCCAGGTGTCCGGGACGCCAACCAGGCGTCCAGGGTGGCGTCCTCCTGCTCGGCGCCCTCTAGCCAGGCGCCCTCCAGCTTGGCGCCCTTGCAGTGGCCCCCGTGCCCACTGCTGCAAGTCGGCTGCAACCCCCGCACATCCGACCACAAGGTTGGCTCCGCCCAAGCGAGGACGGGGCCTTACAACGCTCCCGTTGACAGCCTTGTCTCATGTCTCTGCATGCACCCACCTGGTCTCCCCACGCTGCCTCTTGCAGGTGACACGCGGCAACCAGCAGGTCAACCACCCTTTCGCGCTTCCCTCTGCTTCCCTCCCTCATGTAAGCCAGGGTTGTTTTCTTGTCCCATCATCAGCACTAAATCCTTCTGTGCTTCATGTGTGCTGTGCATGTGTGGGCGGGTGCGTATGTGTGTACATGATTGGTGTGTATACGTGTGCGCGTCCTTGTCTGCCTCTCAGGTCAATGCCACTATCGTGTGTCAGAATGCCACATGTGGACCTTCCACTCCTGCCCATACCATCGCTTCCTCTTTTCAGCATGCCGACGCTATCAACGTGCCTCTTCACTACCTCCACTCCACTCCTTGGTACGTCTTGGTTTGAACACACCTTCTGCAATTTCCACTTAGCTGCAACCAACCATTTCCGTCTTGATTCAGTGTTTCTCGGAGTTGGGGATATACGTATTGCCCTATCAATCTCAGTACTCACATGCATAATTCCGTATGCCCTTGCTGTTCCACATGTACTCGTTTGCAGCCGTCGGGTGCAAACCATCTGCTTGTGCTCTACTCTGTCATCTCCACTCTCATCGCTAGTCTTATGGCACTGCTGTGGGGGATGGGTGTGACCCACACGCAAGTCAGAGCATGGGTGCATCAGCAGGGCTTGGCTGTGACGGCTGGGCTGATGAAGCTGAAGAGTGCAACCAAGTGCCTTCTGGTATGCCATGCGCTCTGCCCTCCTACCCTGCTGCTTTCTTTTCTCCTTCGTGCGCTCACTCGTGTTCTCCATGCTGCTGCACGCCCCTCTCTCATCATCCCTTCAGCTTTGTCTCCTTGCCATTATTCTCTCTGTTCACTTGTGTTTCCCATGCTGCAGTCCCCTCCTGTCCTAACTATGCTGTAGCAACGTGGAATCTTTCCTATGCTTCTCAACACCATGTGAGCAAGATCCCGCTTATCATCGTTCAATCCCCTCGTTTTCTTGTTTTTTTTTTTTTTTTTTTTTTTTTTTTTTTTTTTCTTGCTGATGCTTGGAGCTGATATTTCCCTGGTCGTTCCTGCCCTTGCTGTCCTGACGTCACATTCTCTCAATTCCCCACTCACGGCGTCTTCCCTTAACCTTGCCATCTTCTCACTTACATACCTACTATCATGCTTGCTCATGTGCTGCCATGTGTAGTAAGCATGCCAGGTCTGAGATGGAGAGACTAGGAAAGGCTGTTTGGACTGTCGTGGCGAGTATGGGCGGAACACACGAGTGGAAAGAGGCGATGGAGATGAGATTGAGGGCGCTTGGCGTGCAGCTGGAAGAGAGAAGGAGGGAGTTGGAGGAGGCTGAGAGGAGACGAGTGGCGGAGATGAAAGGGCAGGTGGAGGATAGGAGGGATTTGGAGAAGGCTGAGTGGATGCGAGAGATTGAAATTAGGGAAATGAGGGCGCAAGTGGAGGAGCGGGAGAGGTTGCTGGGTGCAGAATTGGCAGCAGTGAAGGGGGAGTTGGGTGCACACAAGCAGTCAACTGCATTGCAGCTAGAGGAGGCTGAGAGGAGACGAGTGGCGGAGATGAGAGGGCAGGTGGAGGAGAGGGAGAGAGAGCTGGCAGCAGTGAAGGGGCAGGTGACTACAGTGAAGGAAGAGGTGAACGGAGTGAAGGGGGAGGTGAAAGCAGTGAAGGGGGAGGTGACTGAAGTGAAGGGAGAGGTGGCTGCAATGAGGGGGGAGGTGACTATAGTGCAAGGGAAGGTGAATGCAGTGAGGAGGGAGGTGAAAGCAGTGCAAGGGGAGGTGAATGCAGTGAAGGGAGAGGTGATTGCAGTGAAGGGGGATGTGACTACAGTGCAGGCCGAGGGAGTTGGAGGAGGCTGAGAGGAGACGAGTGGCTTACGACAAAGGGCACGAAGTGGAGTGGGACCCATACGAGAACGTGGTCACGGACGAAGCGGTGAAGGTCATGCGCAATCGATTGCGGAGCCGACTCCATTGGTGGCTATCGTGGTGCGAGAGCAGCTTTATCATTTCAATTATCGCGAGGGGCTATTGGCTGCCATGGAAAAACGGCGAACCACCACCGTTTGAAACCGCAAACCATGCCGGAGGGAGAGGGATGGGATAGAGAGGGGAGGGAGGAGCGGCGGAAAGAAGGGATGCGGCGCGTGGGGTTGACAGCGAGGGCTGCTGCTATCTCTGCGCCGCATGCCACACGCATGAGACCAGCAGCACAGTTTGGAGGGGCTCTGGCAGAGGAGGGAGAGGGATGGGATAGAGAGGGGAGGGAGGAGCGGCGGAAAGAAAGGATGCGGCGCGTGGGGTTGACAGCGAGGGCTGCTGCTATCTCTGCGCCGCATGCCACACGCATGAGACCAGCAGCACAGTTTGGAGGGGCTCTGGAAGAGGAGGCAGAGGGATGGGATAGAGAAGGGAGGGAGGAGCGGCGGAAAGAAGGGATGCGGCGCGTGGGGTTGACAGCGAGGGCTGCTGCTATTTCTGCGCCGCATGCCACACGCATGAGACCAGCAGCACAGTTTGGAGGGGCTCTGGAAGAGGAGGGAGAGGGATGGGATAGACAGGGGAGGGAGGAGCGGCGGAAAGAAGGGATGCGGCGCGTGGGGTTGACAGCGAGGGCTGCTGCTATTTCTGCGCCGCATGCCACACGCATGAGACTAGCAGCACCGTTTGGAAGGGTTCTGGAAGAGGAGGGAGAGGGATGGGATAGAGAGGGGCGGGAGGAGCGGCGGAAAGAAGGGGTTGGGCGCATGGGGTTGACAGCGAGGGCTGCTGCTATTTCTGCGCCGCATGCCACACGCATGAGACCAGCAGCACCGTTTGGAGGGGCTCTGGAAGAGGAAGGAGAGGGATGGGATAGAGAGGGGAGGGAGGAGCGGCGGAAAGAAGGGATGCGGCGCGTGGGGTTGACAGCGAGGGCTGCTGCTATTTCTGTGCCGCATGCCACACGCATGAGACTAGCAGCACCGTTTGGAAGGGTTCTGGAAGAGGAGGGAGAGGGATGGGATAGACAGGGGAGGGAGGAGCGGCGGAAAGAAGGGATGTGGCACGTGGGGTTGACAGCGAGGGCTGCTGCTATCTCTGCGCCGCATGCCACACGCATGAGACCAGCAGCACCGTTTGGAGGGGCTCTGGAAGAGGATGGAGAGGGATGGGATAGAGAGGGGAGCTAGGAGAGGTGGGGCAGAGTGTGAGAGTATCGTACCCCCATCGCCACCTCCCTGAAGCGAGGCGTACTGGGAGTGCCTATCCCACTGTGGCCATGCTGCTATCACTGCGCATAATGCCACAAACACGCTGACCATTGCTTAACACTAAAACATACTCACCTTCAGCAGCTTGGGTGTGGGCATCCCACGCGTTCGACGGACCGGTACGTCGACCGTCGCCGGGCTTTCTGGCGCCATGCCTGGATCAAGCCCCCCTGCAGATAGGCCGCTCGACAGGGACGCTAGAGGAGGAGGCCTAGACGGAGGGGTGCAGGGTTTGACAGGTCCTTTGGAACCTGCCCGTGCCTTGAGTGCAGCAATTTCGCGATCCCGCTGGGCAAGCTCTTGCATGAGCTGCTCCACAGTCTTGCCGCCAGCCAAATCGGGCCGACTGGATACGCCAGATGTACCCATGCTCTCTCCCCTCCCCTCCTTAGTCGCCGGATCCATTTTCGCGTCTCCTCCTTCTCCCCTGCTCTCCCGTACATCCCACATGGAGCCTTCCACACCGCCGCCACATTCACCCAAGGCATTCGCCCACACACCTCCTCCCACACCGTCATTGGCTGCTGCAGCGGCCGAGGGTTCGTACCGCTTCGTTGCCCCCTCGATTTTCACATGATCCGCGTGATCCCTCGTATGCTTTGCAGGCGGGTCTGTCGCTTCCCTGCCAAACCGCACTGACCCCCAAGCCATCGGATCTCCCTTCCCAGCCGAATCCATCGGCTCGCGTAACGCATCGTACGGGTCTGCGGCTTTTCGATCATGAGAGCTTGATGGACATTGTAGCCCCATGGACTCGTAGAAATCCAGCTCCCGCTTCACCTTGCTACGCACACCCACAATTCTAGCTTCGAAACGAGGTCTATGGCGCTTGCCATGTGGTTTGGCACGACGCACACTCGGTTTACAGCTCTTCACCCGTCCCCTCTCCGATTTCCGCTTTCCGTTGCCCTTCTTGAGCTTCCGCACACTCCTCCTCTTCAAAGTCCGAGCCACCTCCCCATCCTCGCTCTCCGGCTCCAACTCCTCATCCTCCTCGTCCTCCTCCTCCTCATCCTCATCCTCCTCCTCGTATAACTCCTCACTCCCCGATGAGCTCCCCGACTCACTGTTGCTAGATCCTCCCTTGGAATCAGACGAGCTCGAAACATGCATATTAGGGCCTTGCCGAGCTTGTCTCGCCTTACGGTCGCGACTGCCCGGGTCCACAGAATTGCACCGTTTGTAAGGAATCACAGCTTCACGTCCATTTTCTTTCCCATCAGTCACTGCTGCTTGTGAGGATCTAGGATCGAGTTCAGAAAAGAGAATGAGAATTGAGTCAAATTGAATTGAATTGAATGTCCACCTGGGTACAACACGAGGCTATATATAGGCTCGACACAAGGCCCCGTAACCAGGTGTTACGCGAAGGTTCCGCGGGTCGCGAAGCGTCCCGAACAGATCCTTACCGAATTCGGTAGAAGGCAATTCGGTGGCAACCGAAAAGCCAGAATTCGGTGCACGCAACCTAGCTCGGTGCTATAACTATAATAAAATATAGGAAAGCACCTAGCCTAGGAAATCAAGCAATTCATGCATGCATATGATTATCCTATGCTAGAAATAGCATGATAAAGTAGAGGCAAGCAAGCATAGCTGGCATAAGCCGTCGTACTCTCACACGTCCCCCCCTCAAAGCTGGGTGGCGTGAGATACACCCTGCTTGACAAGATAGTCCTTGAGAGCACGGCGTGCGTTGCCCATATCAGCTTCTGCAACCCAACTGTCCTCAGTGGGGTCGTATCCCTTCCAGCGTATCAGGAACTCGAGAGTCTTGCCATCGCGGCGCCGATGAGAGAGAACGCGCTTGATCTCGTACTCGGGTTCATCCTGTATGAGAACAGGTGGTGGTGGCGGTAGTTGCCGTCCCTGGAACTGTTGGTTGGGGTCCTTGTAGGGCTTCAGTAGCTGGACATGGAAAGCGTTGTGAAGCTTCCATGTATCTGGTAAGCGCAAGCGGAATGTAACTGGTGTCACCTGTGCCTCAACGAGAAAAGGACCACAGAAGCGAGGCCGGAGTTTGGATGGAAGGTGAGACAGGTTCAAGTTGCGCGTGTCAAGAAGCACCTGATCTCCGACTGCTACTGAGTGATCACGTCGCTGACGATCGGCATACTGCTTCTGGGAGTTCTGCATCGTGGTGAGACGTCGCTGAGTCTTCTCCCATAGCTGCTGCATGGTGGTGACGGAGTCATGTGCGGATTGGACGTGTGCCGGTGTAGTTGGCTGCTGTGGTGTGAGTGGTTCCCGTCCGTAACACAGGAAGAAAGGAGTTTTCCCTGTGGCCGCATGTGATGCGTTGTTGTAAGCGAACTCTAGGGTTGGTAACTATGTGTCCCAGTGGCTGACGTCGTCCTTGCAAGCTGTGCGCAGTAACTGTTCAACCACTTGATTGAGTCGCCCTGTCTGTCTGTCAGTCTGGGGGTGGTATGCTGAAGACATTGCAAGCTTTGTCCCCAACAGTCCCATGAGCTCCTTCCAAAACTTACTCGTGAATTTGGGGTCTCTGTCTGAGATGAGTGTAGCGGGGATGCCGTGGATGGTGATGATGCGGTCGAAGAAGAGTCGAGCAGTTGCTTCAGCTGTAGCTGTGGCGTTGGTCGGTATGAAGTGACCCATTTTGGAGAACTTATCGATCACCACGAGGATGGAATCATGTCCCCGTGAGGTCGAAGGAAGCCCTGCGATGAAGTCGAGGCTAACGACCTGCCATGGCTGCTCCAGTACGGGTAGAGGCTGAAGTAACCCTGCTATTTTCTGCTTGCTGCTCTTCATCCGCTGGCATGTGTCGCAAGAGGTGACGAACTGCTGCACGTCTGCTGCCATCCCGGGCGAGTAGTAATACTTCGCTATCCCTGCTACTTTATCATGCTATTTCTAGCATAGGATAATTATATGCATGCATGAATTGCTTGATTTCCTAGGCTAGATGCTTTCCTATATTTTATTATATTTATAGCACCGAGCTAAGTTACGTGCACCGAATTCTGGCTTTTCGGTTGTCACCGAATTGCCTTCTACCGAATTTGGTAAGGATCTGTTCGGGACGCTTCGCGACCCGCGGAACCTTCGCGTAACACCTGGTTACGGGGCCTTGTGTCGAGCCTATATATAGCCTCGTGTTGTATCCATGTGATCATTCAATTCGATTCAATTCAATTTGAATCATCTTTTCTGAGCTCGATCCTAGATCCTCACACTTGGTAATCAGAGCGGGTTTACACGCGAGGTCTTCAACCGCTTAGTTCCGGCCTTCAAAAACCGTGGAGGCGACGACGAAAGCGCCGATACGGGTATGCAAAACCAGTTCCGCACAATTTTTCTAAGTCCCCCCTCGATTCGGTTTTCGAACACCCCTCAGATTTACTGGTGGAAAGGATGGAGTTTCGACCGTTCGATCGAGTTTCGTCTCAACGGCCCAGAGAATTTCGCCTAAAAACGTTGGAATTTGGAGTGTCGGATTGATTTTCTCCTCAACGGCCAAGATCGGACGCGAATTTCGCCCAAGGGAGATTTATGCGACCTACAGAATTTGCGCTCGTCGATCCTTCAGTTAACTTGACTCGCAGTAAGTCGACCAGCACCTAGAATTCGATTATTTTCGTCGCGCATCTTACTGTAAATCGCCAAATGGAGGAGAAAGGAGATATTTCAGTATAGAAAACCGCGGAGTTACGTGTTGAGCATAAGCAAATACATGCGGCGCTCCCACGACTCAAAAAACTCCTTACGAACCAGTCGGCAACCGCCACAGCAGCAGCGACAACACCGACAATTTTACATGAGACAACGGCAGCAGCTACAGGTAACCTCGAAACAGTGAAGCCGAGGCTACCGGAGGCGTTCGATCCTACAGTAAAAAGGAACGACGTTCGTCAATTTGTAGTTGAACTCGAAATTTACTTCAAAGCCGTTAGATGCACGACCCCGACAAAAGACGCAATGCGCATACGGCTCGCAGCAACATTGTTACGAGGCCCAGCTCTAGAGTGGATCAACAACAGAATAGTCCAAGGCGAGGGGACGTGGGCGCAGTTTCCGGCAGCACTGATCGAACAGTTCGACACGTTGAACAGTAGCTCTTTCATAGTTCATTTATTCTCGTTCTAGCTTTCACATGGTATCGAGCAGGTTCCCTCGTGGGAACTGTTCCTAGGGCCCACCGATTCGAATTTTTTTTTTTCCTGCCCGGAGCGCGCTCAGCCCCTGCCCGAGTCGCGCTCCCCTCTCTCGACCCTGACGCGCCGCCTTAGCGGCCCCGTCGAGTCGCGCTAGCGACCCGGTCGCGCCGCCCTCGCGGCCTCGATCCGCCGCCCTTGCGGCCCCGTCGCCTACCCCGCGGCCCCGGCGCCGTCCTTCCCGGCCCCGACGCCGCCCTTCTCGACCCGGCCCCGCCTCTGCTGACCTCGTCGCCTAGCCCTGCGGCCCCGACGCCGCCCTTCTCGGCCCCGGCGCCGCCCTTCTTGGCCCCGATCCGCCGCCCTTCCCGGCCCCGATCCGCCGCCCTTACCCGGCCCCGGCGCCGCCCTTCCCGGCCCCGATCCGCCGCCCTGCGGCCCCGACGCCGCCCTTCCCGGCCCCGGCGCCGCCCTTCCCGGCCCCGATCCGCCGCCCTGCAGCCCCGACGCCGCCCTTCCCGGCCCCAGCGCCGCCCTTCCCGGCCCCGATCCGCCGCCCTGCGGCCCCGACGCCTCTGCTGGCCTCGCCGATGCTCCACCCGGCTCCGCCGTCGTCCCCACGCGGCTCCGCCGTCACCATCGAGCCGCCGGCGCCGCCGAAATGCTGCCGAGCCGCCCGCCACCCGAGCTGCCCGAGCAGCCGCACCACGCCGAGCCGCCCGAGCAGCCACACCACGCCGAGCCGCCCGAGCTGCTGAGTCGCCGAGCCGCCCGAGCCGTTCGAGCCGCCCGAGCCGCCGAGCCGCCCGTGCCGCCGAGTAGCCGTCCGCAGTTGCTGCCGAGCCGCCGTACTGCCGAGCTGCCGAGCCGCCCGAGCCGCCCTGTCCAGTAAGAGCAGCGCCTCTATCACTGCACTGCCCTTACCCTACTGTTTGAGCTGCTAGTCTACTGCTATCATGGCTACCCCTAGTGTCCTCGCTTTTGACGCTGAGGGTCGGGCCATTGACTTTGACGTCTGGGTAGATGAACTGCAGCTTTTCCTACAGTGCAATAGGGCAGACGGTCTCTCCCTCTTTGACCTCACCTCTGGTGCCTCTCCTGCCCCTGCTGCTGATGCTGACGCCACTGTTCGCTCACAGTGGGCCACACGCGATGCTGCTGCACGTCTTGCTGTGCGTCACCACCTGCCTACCTCTGAGCGTGCGCACTTAAGTCAGTACAAGAGTGCTCAGACCTTGTACGACGCTGTAGTTGCACGCTACTCCTCTCCTGCCACTGCTGCACTGAGCCGCCTCATGCTACCGTACCTCTTCCCTGACCTTGCTGCCTTTCCCATAGTCGCTGACCTGATTACGCACCTCCCCACTAGTGACACTCGCTACCGCGCTGCGCTTCCTGCTGAGTTCTGCGCCAAGAACCCCCCCCCCATGTACATCACTCTCTACTACATAGTCACCCGGCTCCCTGACTCTCTGCGCGTAGTCAGGGACCACTTCCTCTCAGTTTGCCCCACCACTCTCACCGTTGACCTACTCGAGAAGGCCCTCCTAGCAGCAGAGAAGAGCATAGTCGCTGTAGGAGCCTCTCGTGGTGACCCTCGCACCCCCGTCTTTGAGGGGTGTTCCCCCTCCCCCCTCTTGCCCTCTGTTGCCTCTGCTGCTGCGGCCGACCTCGTTGGTTTCGAGTCGGTCGGCGCTGCGTTTGCCCCTAGTAGGAAACGCCGCACCGGCAAGGGCAAGGGGGCCAAGGGCACTAGAGGGGCTGGCGGGGATGGCGGAGGAGGCGGTGGAGGCAGTGGAGGGGGTGGGGGTGGTGGTGGGAGTGGAGGCGGGGGTGGAGGTGTTGGTGGCGGTAGTGGAGGCGGAGGCGGCGGCGGCGGTGGCGGTGGGAGCGGAGGTGGTGGATGTGGCGGCGGTGGAGGAGGAGGCGGTGGAGGAGGAGGAGGAGGAGGTCGCGGCTCTTCGCAGAGGAGTGGCTTTGGTGGTGGTACGCGCC